CAGGTTCAAATGTTAACCTGCTGCCTTGAGCAAAACTTGAGCCTACAATTGTTTTCTTCTGCAACATGGATTGCTCGGGATAAGAAAAGGAGGGTATGCCTGGTGTGTGACAGAAAAGACGCTGAAAGTCACTGGGTTCCCTGGAGTCACAGACAGTTGTGAGCTGCCATGTAGGATCTGGGACTTGAACCCAGGTCTTCTGTAAGAGAAGACAGTGCTCTTAACCACTGGGCCATCTCCCCAGGCCTTTATTTGGTATTCTAGTGGCTTTGTACTTGGCTTTTTTGAGACAGTGTCTCCTGTAGACCAGGTAGGTCTCAAACACACTATGTAGCTGAGGATGGCCTTGAACTCCTAATCCTCCTGCCTGTACCTTCCCAGCATTAGAGATGACGAGTGTGTGCCAACCAGGCTCTGTTTATGGGGTGTTGGGGATGGAACCCAGGGCTGTGTGTGTGTGCTAGGCACACACCAATTGAGCTACAAGCCCAGCCCCTTTCTCTACCTTCCCAAGCACACTCTCTAGAAACGCCATGTATGCATGCATCATTCATTCACTCATTCATTTATTCTGCCAGGGAGAAGCACTGCACGCATTCTGCCTGTGGCATCCACAGCATATGTGGGGGAACTGTGCAGATATTATTGAAACAATTATCCAAATAATTAGCTAATAATTAATTGCCACTATGAAGTGAGCCACTCTCAGGAGCCTGGAGATGTAATGGAGGCTTCCAGAGACCTCCCTGGGGCTTTGTTCTGACTTAGAGGAGGAGGGTCCACAGTGCCTAGCACCCTGTACCAGCCTTTGCCTGGAGGTGGGGTGGCTGCCTTGCTTTTGTGCCACGCCCAGGATCCACACCCTTGCCCCTCCTGGTGCCTTGCCCTGGGCCAGGAGCCCCACATGTTGCATCTTGTGGAACCCTTCAGAGACCAATGAGGTAGGTAGATGCACTGCAATTCCTCCTAGGACTCAGGGACAGAAGGATCCTGTCCCAAAGACACTGCCACACCTGAGTCAGTACACTAATCCAGGCTGTCTACCCAGTCCACCATGCCCTGCTGTGAAGTCGATCAGTAGGTCTGCATAACTTCTGAGCTAAAGGGCTTTTAAAATTCAACTCTGCTTCATTTTCCTGTCGTTTTCTATTTACTTTATTTGATTGATTGATTGATTGATTGATTGATTGATTGACTGACTGATTGGCTGACTGACTGATTGTGTGTGTGTGCTTGCATTTGTGCACACATTGGAAAGTAAAGTTTATTGGCTGGAGATATAGATTAGGGGTAGAGTGCTTTTCTAGCATATTTGAGGCCTTAGGGTCAATCTGTAGAACTGAAAAAGGTTAGATCCTTAGTGTGTGTGTGTGAGCATGTGCGTATGTATCAATCTCAGGGCCCCATGAGAGCTAAGGAAGTCTCTACTACTGATCTACATTCCCAGTTCTCTCTCTCTCTCTCTCTCTCTCTCTCTCTCTCTCTCTCTCTCTCT